ACAACAAAAACTCAAATGAGTTATGAGTACTACTTTTACTCCGTAATTTGATCGATATAATGAGTTACTGGTCGGTTGCAGTTGGGAAGGTGGTCGTCAATGTATGCAGCCGTGTGCGAAATGCTGCGAATCATTCTCAGAGAAGACTAGTCACGTTAGTTCAGACTTCGATAGCATGATGAATCCGATGGAGGAACGGTAACTGCCATTGCTTGCTTGTTTTTGCAGATTCCAACCCAACAGTTTGATATTCAGGCAAAAATCATCATGGCTAAGTCCGCTTCTGGATTATCCGTCGGCATACGCTTCACCAAATCCACCCACAGATTTGGAGGAATACTTAGACGCTAGCGATGTACAGCCTCCCAGATATGAGGACACATTTGGTTCGTGACTATTGTACTACTTATTTACCAGTAAATTGACTCTACTTGATATTGTTCAGCTATGAGTGACTCAACGCCTAGTATTCCCAGCAAAGACAATTCCCGTAGTCCATTAGAAAGGAGTCGCAAAGGGTCTCGGTGAGAAAAAGAGTTTACATTGTAGCATTTGGATCAATTACTCGGTAATTTCAGACTTTCTGGTATCCCCGAAGAAGATAGCGGTGTGGGATCAGAAAATGGAGATCCATTGGGCAGAAGTCGACTGAAACTGCCTCCACCACCTCCCCGTCCTGCAGTACAACAAGGAGATCCGTGGAACAAACCCACACGCAATCCCTGGAGTCCGCCCCAGTCTCGTACTCGACCAGCCCCCACTGAAGAGAAACGAACAAGCGCTGGTGTTCCGCTACTTGAGGTAGGGTCCTGAAATGAGCGAAATTGAATTCAATCAGTGTGAATGGGCCAGCCTCAAAAATACTACCAACAGACGAAACGATCCAGTTCCCTAGCCGATTGCGACTACTGGGAAATTGACCTGGGCCATATGTCTTCTGTATTTGTTTCAGGCACCTCTGCAGACTTCAGTGGAAGAAGAAGAACCCTCACAATTGAGCGATTCCCTTCTCTGCGGCCGCTCCAAAGCTGTTCGTTGCCTCAGACAAAGAAAGGCAAACGACGCTTTGATATTGTAGTCAATTACCGATGCTGGTTGTGAATATGTGCAATTGTTTGAGAATTTCTGTTGAATATTGAACCGTCGACGTTGATATTAATTTTCAATAAATGTCTTCCATACGCAAAAAAAACTGGAAAAAAGGAATCCTAACATACTTCGTGCCAACACTTATTCAGCTCGGACAAATGGGACTGGTGTGCAGCTTTCTCAAGGCCCAGGGAACTACTGCGCAAGGAAATTTGGCCCAATACGCCATCTGTTTTTGTTTTGGTGCAACAAACAGCACGCTAGGCTGTGCTGATCGCCTGCTAAATTCGATGCTCCTCCAACCAACTTAATTGTTGTTGCTGAGGCTGACGCTCGGAACCGTGTTCAATTTCCTTCGGCTTCCCCATCAGCTACTGGGTCGTTGTCTCAGAAACAAGTCTATTATCGGTTTTTTCGTACATTCTAGGTCAGTGCCCTTTCTCGAATATTTCTTTACTATCACAATTGCTAGTCCTTATATGGGTAATGCAGATTATCCCCTGGCTCCCTTTATTCCCATACTGGCCTTTGCCCCCGATGTGTTCCATATCGCAGGGGTCAACAAGCGCGACCCGACATGCTGGCCTAACATCAAGGGGTGTTCTAAGATTTAGTTTCTTGACGGACGGAATTGGTCCCGAGTTTTGGCACGAAACGTTCCTGGAATCACATTAGGTAGGCCCCGTCTCAATTATCGTGTCCTCAAAGTCGTCACTGCTGGCGTACTGGGTTTCCAAACCTCCTCCCTAACCCCCCCCCCCTCGGAGGCACAAGATGTAGCTGCTTTGCCAGCAGTCCAGCCAAGGTAAAGATCTTCAATTGCGTCCCAGAATCGGCCCACAAAAATGAAAAAGTTAAATTTGTTTCATCGTACTGTAATACTCCTTATCTCCCTGAGACCGGGCTAGGCGCGACATTCGGAACAAATACCCTGGCACCAAAAGAATCTGTTACTCGTGGAACATGACAAAGCCGCTCATCCTTGTTCCTTTCGAGCTCGGAGCACTATGACAGTGAACGCAGCAGGATCTAACGAAAAGTACTCTTTCTACCAGAAGCATAGCACCCACGTCATTCAGTTTAAGTACGCAGTCACAGCGGTATCTACATTACATCTAAGACGGATTTCGCCTACCACATCTCAGGGATTTCGAGTGTACCCACCCGCGAAACTCGGCTTGTTAGTCCGTTACGAAAAAATGTGGGTGCGGCTGTGCTGTGGCATAAAAACCATTTACCTGAGAGGGTAGGAGGTGGCCTTTTGGAGCTATAGCGCGCTTGCCCGGAGAGCATGACGTACTTGTTCAAGTCAGTGCAGGATTTACTACTTCTTGTTACTTTCTCAGTCTCTTATACGTGAATCAAAAAGTTCCGCCCCTCCCAACCGAAGCAAACAAATGGTTTAGTGGTCAGCGAAATCGGCGTCGATGAATCACTTGCCTCCAATAGCTGTTACGGGGACTATACTTTCAATAGGGATGCTCGTTAAAGGGCTCTGCGATTCTGTCCCATCTGTCCTCGATGGCTCCGATTCATTTAATTGAATTCATGGAATTTAATTCTAGCTATGATTTCACTTCACGGATTCCGAACTCATTCAATTTGCGTTCTGTGATGAAGAAGGCGATTTCATTGCCTTTTTACTGTCTTCTACGAATAGGCCTAATCGCATTCAATGTAGCACGGCGTTCTGAACAGAAGCAGCGCTTCCTACACTAAAATGACCAGACTTCCCTCTCTAGGGGGGCGCT